GGCTGGGGCACAGGTCCCCAGGTACACGTGTGATGGGGTGTCCTCCACAGGTACTCTTGTGATGGGGTGTCCTCCCCAGTACTTGTGTGATGGAGCTCAGGCTCCCCAGGTACTCTTGTGATAGGGTGCAGGTTATGCAGATACTCGTGTGATGGGTGGCATCCTCCCTGGACTCAGAGGGCACAGGCAGCCTGAATCTAGGGTATCTGGGGCACACACATGCTAAAACACAGAGAATGGGTACAGGGCACCCCAAACCATAGAGGACTTTGGCAAGCCAAGCACCCCATCTTTGACCATCCCAGGCTCCAGCTGGCTGGCTGCGTTGCTGGTGGGGCACAGCATTGGGGCCGGCGGGGGCAGGGTGTCCACGTGCTCACCCAGCACGTCTCATGCGTCTGTGCCAGCAGCTTGCGGCTCCCCTGTTTCACAGCATTTGCAGTGTGTTCCAACCTCAAACATTCCCCAGGCGACCTCAAAGGAAGCCTCCCCATCCAGGAGCCCTGCCAGGGTCTCCATGGGGCCGCTGTCTGCCAAGCCGCCGTCTCGGGGGCCTCAGGGCTGGCCTCGAGCTGCCAGCTCTGTTTGGTTTTCTCCTTCCTGCCCTGGAGCCGCAGACGTCCGTCTCGCCGTGGAGGCGCCCCTGTCCTGGGGGGAGCACAAAGCCCCTCACAGCCAGGCTTGAGGGGAGCCGCATGCACACGTGGCTCAACTGTTCGTTCCCTACCAGCAGGCCCCCCAAAGCGTAGATGCCTGCTGGCCCAAGTGCCATGCATTCCCAGAAGCCTTCCTCCTTTGCCTTCTCTGTTTTTAGTCACTTTTCCAAAACCCTCTCACCCCAGACTGGGTTAGAATAGGAGATAGACTGTCCCCTATACAAGGAATCCACTAAAAGGACAGGCAAGCCCCCACCCCATGCCTGGGCCACTTGTGACCAGAAGGGCACACATGAGCACACTTTCGCTCCTGCGTCACACCTGCTATGGCCCCAAAGCCTCCTGAGAGCCTGGGCCACGTCTCCCACAAGTCCTGTCCAACTAGTCCTGCAGGCCTGGCCCTGGCAGGACAGGTTCTCCTGTTAAGCATTAACCAGCCCCATTTTGGCTGGCCAGCCACAGATAAGGGGTTCAGAGAGATACCCTGGACAGGGAGGGCCACTCACAGTTGGGCCTCAGGGTGGGACCTGGCCCCAAGTGACTGGACCAGACTGACTGGCCAGAGCAGAGGGAGGGAGCTCGGATCACAGCCCTGCTCAGGCCCAACTGGAGCAGGAGTTGCTGTGGTTAGACTGTGGCAAGGACTTCTGGCCCACTGGCCACCTGGATGGGGGGTGGTGACTAAAAGCTCAGGGGTCAGCCCAGCTGGAGGCAAAGTCAGAGACTTTAGGCACCTCCAAAAGGTGGCCACACAGGCCCAGATGGTCCCCCGTGGGAGCACCGCCTGGTGTGGCCCTGGGCAGCCGGCAGGCCGCAGCCCCAGCCTCCGCTCGCTCAGGTCGTCAAGCCAGCCACTCCAGGGTATGCGCAGCTCCATCTCCGAACAGGCCCAGCTCCCCTCTTGCAAAGCTTGATAAGGCTGAAGATGCCCCCAGCTCTGAGGGACCCCTGGAGATGGGCCGGAGCCCTGACCCCCAGGCCCTGGGCCTCGGAAGGGACCTCCCTCCCCATGGGAGTTTCCAGGCTCCTGAGGGCCAGCAGTTCCGGCCACAAGGTGGGGCTCCCCGAAGCCCTGCCTCTCATTCCCCCCACCCCCCAAGAAGAATTTTCCAGTCACTGGAGGCAGAGCAAACACCAGGCTGACCGTCCTCCAGGTGCCCAGGGTCTGAGAGGGAGGCCCGGTGGCCAGCTGGCCGCAGGAGGTGGCGGGCATCAGGTGAGAGCTCTGGGGGCTCCCACCCCCAGCACTCGGGGAGGTCTTGCTCTTCCGGAGGAAGGGCCCACAGAGATTCACCCCCACAAAACACGGAAGACGCGGGGAGGGAATTAGGTCTCAAGCCTGTGGTCAGTGTCTGGCCTGGCTGACGGGCAGACTGCAGGGGGGACTGCCGCTCTGTCTGCGGGTGTGGGCTCCTGAGTGGGAGGGGGACAGGGGAGCGCCCAGCACAGAATGTCACAGCAGGTCCAGGGCCTGGAGTCACCCGGGAGGGCTCCCTGGAAGAGTGGGGCTCAGCAGGCCTTGAAGGCTGAGTAGGACAGGATGGGGAGTGACACTTTCTGCAGGAGTGGCAGGAGCCAGGCAGCAGGAACGCACCGGCGCCCCACCGGGAAGCAGAGGGCAGAGGCAGACACACAGAGCAGAGTGAAAGGAGGGGGCCTCCCAGGGCGGGTGGCTGGGCAGGGGGCTTGAAATGGAAAGGACACCCGTCTCCCTTTCCTGGTAACAATGGGCATTAGTGCCTAGAGAGGGCGTCCCCTTGCAGGACCGCAGACTACGGACAACGGAAGTTAGCAGGAAGAACCGCCCGCCTCCTTGGAGTGCGTGGCTGCCCTGGGCTGTCCCAGGCAAGGAGGGCTTGCAGGGGCCCTGGGGCGGGAGGGGGAGAAGCGGAGATCCTCTCAGGGCCTGCCCAGGGATCCTGGGCGCTCTCTCCAGGAGCCCCCCAGAGCCTGGACGCTGCTAGTTGGCCGGGGCCATCGGAGTGGACGGCGCCACCTGGTGGCCGCATGCCTGCCTGAACCTTTACCTCCAGGGGGACCCGGCGGTCCTGAGGGACCCTGAGCCTCCCCAGGCGTCAGGATCGCCCAGAGCAGGTTGCTGGCATCCCCAGGCCCCGGGATTCTCCAGGGCCGGCTTCCAGGAAGCTCCTATGTCTTCTGGGGACAACTTTCACCAGGCTAGCCTAGGAATCCCGCTGACCAGCAGCACCAAGTTCCCCAGCTGGCCCTGCCCGGCTGTTCTTAGACTAAAAGAGATGAGGACACCGGCAAAGAAGGCGCGCGGGGGAGAGGCACACACATGCACACACAGGCACACACGCAGGTGGAGAATCTGTATTTACAATGTAACCATAAAAATCTTGAATGAAGGTACTTTAATCCCAGAACACACGTAGGCTCTGACATTTCAAAAAGAAACCACTGATTTTAAGTTCCACGTGGGGAGCTGAGGAATCTGGCCTCTGATTCCTGCTCCAGGGACCCTGTGGGACCCACAGAAGCCCCCACCAACCCATTACATCCGCTGCCACCAGGGGTGCTCTGCCAGCCATGTGCAGAGTACCCAGCGACCTGGCCATGTCCCAGGGGGACGTGAAGGAGGGGGAGGCCAGTGGACAGGGGGCTACTGAGCCTGCGCGCTTTGCTGCACAGCCACAGGCCTGGTGCAAAGGGGTAATGAGCTGCCTCTTGTTCAAGCCTTTCAAGACGTGCACACCTGGTTTAATGCAACCCCCGTGACTGCCTTCGTGTGTGGGTCCTGTGCACAGGCAGCTGCTCGAGGGGCTGGCCTGCCCTCCGCATGGCTTTTTGGTACCTACAGCACCCTCAGGCCTGGCTTCAGGGACAGGCAGGGCTTCCCTGGGCCACACTGGAATAAGGAGTCACATAACTGGGGTCCCTGGCCTCGGTCTGCTCACCTGTAAAACAGGCACCCTGACCTTGCAGGGACACTGTGTGTGAAGTCCCTTGAGGGGCTGACAGCCAGGCCTGGGAGGCAGGACACCCTGGGCCTGTCAGCAGATTTGCTGGGACCTGGGTACGCCTACCCTCTTTGAGCTGCAGCCTCCTCTGAACACCGGGGGGGTTAGGTTAGTTCTGGCCTCCCCTCCAGCCTGTTGGGGAAGGGGCATTGATGCTGTGTGCGGGGTAATCTCTGGAATCATGATGGGGTCTCTTTCTGTCTCTGCCCATGTTCTGCACCAGGCTGGGGGTGCGGAGTGAGCGGGTCTGGCCTGAACAATGGCTTATCCCTAAAGGGGATGGCCTGGGCTGGGCCCCCAAAGCCATGCGGCAGCCAACTAGTAAGAGGGTTGCAGGCTGTTGGGGACCAATGTGGGGAGGCCCTAAGTTGGAGGAACTGAGATGGCTTGCTTGCCGCTGCCACCTGGGCCAAGGATCACAGTGCACCCTGCATGGCTCCCCCACCCCCTGCTAGGAACCTTGGCCTCCCTGCCATGTGGGAGGAGCCAGCTCGGCCAGGTGTGCTCCCTCCCCAGGCCCCGGGCAGGTAGGGTGCAGGGGCCAGGGCAGCTGTGCCAGCCCCGCCCCTTCCCACCCACACGCCCAAGGGTGGCTGGGCAGGCAGGTAGGCGAGTCTGGGCGGCTGCTGAGTCAGTTTGGGAGGAATGTTTTGGCTGCTCCCAGCTACGCCCTGTCCCACCTGCCCCCACCTCGCCCTCATCCCCAGGCGCTGCTGGCCTGGCGCTGTGCCAGGAACGCACCTCCAGCCCAGGCTTGCTGAGATGAGCCTCCACCCACAGCCGACCCCTGCTCCTTTGCCCCACTGGTTCCCCTCCCCCTATGACCCCACAGAGCTCCCATCCTCACACCCAGGGTCCACCAGGAACACACTTTGCCTGTGTGGCTGGTGAGCTGTAGTGGGCCCCAGGGTAGGGGCAGGGAAGTGATGGGACTTCATGAGATGAGACCCCTGGGGATGAGATGGGACCCCCAGGCAGGGGCCAGGCCCCAGAAGAGAGAAGCAGGAAGGGAGAGGGCTTCTTGCAATGGGGGGAGGGGGCTGTGTGGGTGACATCCAGGGAGGGCAGGGCTGGGGCTGCCCAGGCCTGGTCTGCTTGGCTGGGGCTGGGGGGAGGGGGTGGCCAGGAGGCCGGGCCTGTGGCAGCTAAGCTGGCGCTTTGGCCAAGGCCCAGAGCCTCCCTCCCGTAGGTTCCTGCCTCTCAGAACACTTGCCCCTGGCCACCCCAGGCTGCCTCCTTGCCCGGGCAGACCCAGTGCTGGCTGCTGCTGGGCAGATGGGGCAGCAGGCAGGGGGCCGAGGGGCCCGCCCCCCAGGTGACCCGGCCTCTGCGGCCATCTCCTCCAATCCATCAGGGCGGAAAGATGGGGCGCCCCCCAGAGCCCCGCAGCACCCCGGCCTCCGCAGGCACCACCATTGTGCCCGGGATCACTCCAGATCTTGTTACCAGGATCCCCTGTGAGTGGCGGGACACCCGAGAGGGGTGTGGGGATGGCCCAGCTGGGTGGGGGCTGTGGCTGTGCACAGATGGGTCTCAGCCCAACTCTGTGCTCCCACCAGGGCCACGCTGGGCATCCGCTGCCATCGCCCTCGCTGCTGGTGTCCTCCTCGTTTCCTGCCTCCTCTGTGCCATCTGCTGCTGCTGCCGCCGCTGCCGCCACCACAGGAAGAAGCCCAGAGACAAGGAGGCTGTGGGCCTGGGCAGTGCCCGAGGCACCACCACCACCCACCTGGTGAGCAGTAGGCGTCTGTGCGTCCCCGGCACCCAGCTCCAGGCAGCTCAGCCCAGAGAGGACAACTCAAGGCGCAGGCTGGGGGTCAGAGCAGCCCAGGGCGGCTGGGGGCGAACTCAGACCCCAGGGACAGTCTGATCTACTCAGGAGCAAGGGCAGGGAGGGCCTTCCTGGCAGGGGAAATGGATGAGCGAAGGTGGGGGTTGGTCCAAGGGCATGGGAGCCACAGCAGGTTCTTGAGGAAGGCCGTGGTGCCGCAGATGCCGCGTTAGGGGTGGGTCTGGCCTGTCGTGCAGAGCTGAGCTTAGGTGTTAGGCCTTCTGGTGGCTGGGCCGCATTGTGGAACCCTGCCTGAGAGTCCAGGGCACTGATGCGGGCCATGGTCTCAGCTGCTCCTGTCACCGGACCCTGCCCACTCCAGGTGCAGCCGGATGTGGATAACCTGCAGTCTGGCCCCGGGGGGCCTCCGCAGTGGGGGCGCCTGCAGCTCTCGCTGGAGTACGACTTGGGAAGCCAGGAGGTGAGGCCCCACACAGGCCAGAGGTTCCGTGGGCTGATGGCGGGGGGAGGGGGGTGGGGGCTGACCGGGAGGGCCCCTGGGTGAGCCCATCTCTCTCGCCCCCAGATCAGAGTGGGTCTGAAGCAAGCAGCCGACCTGAGGGCCGGGGGCACAGCAGACCCCTACGCCCACGTCAGCGTCTCCACCCAGGCTGGGCACAGTCATGAGACAAAGGTGCATCGTGGCACACTCTGCCCTGTGTTTGAGGAAACTTGCTGCTTTCATGTGAGTCCAGTCTGGGCAGGCGGTGTGGGCCCGGGCCAGGGCAGCAGGGGCCAGGCTCACTCCCCTGCCACAGGTCTCCCCTGCAGAGCTACCTGGGACCACCCTGCGTGTGCAGCTCCTGGACTTCAAGCGCTTCTCCAGGCACGAGCCACTGGGTGAGCTCAGCCTGCCGCTGGATGCTGTGGATCTGAGGCACGTCCTGGAGCGCTGGTACCAGCTGGGCCCACCGGGCACTGCCGAGGTGAGGCCGCTGACCACCAGGTTCCAGCCCAGCAGGGACACTGAGGCTGAGGGCCACTGACAGTGTGGGCCCAGCCTCTACTCAGCAAGGATGACACCCCCCAGACTGAACCCCCAACCAGGCTGAAGCCCCCCCAGGCTGAAGCGCCCCAAGTTGAACACCCCCAGGCTGAACCCCCAGCCAGGCTGAAGCCCCCCAAGTTGAACCATCCCAGGCTGAACACCCCCAGGCTGAAGCCCCCCCAGGCTGAAGCGCCCCAAGTTGA